GGAATGCCAAACTCGAAATGCTATTTTGCATAGAAGGTTCTTGATGCCAATTTGCCCATTTTAGATGGGAGTTGAAACATCATGAAGCTGTTACCAGAAGAAGTTCATCTTCTTAATTAATCTCTTGGTACAATCATATTTGTGGTTTCAAATAATTCATTTATGGATTGTGCTTGATATTGAAAGGGAATAACAAGACATTAAATGAGAGTTTATTATAACAACTCTAATGATATTCAATGCTGAAATAGCATTTCCACAGAAGAATATGGAAAGTATCAATATTTCCATTCTATTATTGGCTTACAAGTTACAAAATCTTCAAAATTTCGTAGACATATTATGTTTGGTAAAACCATAATAGATATATGAGTTTTTGAGTAAACCTAACAAACCAAGACCAATTACAGCGCAGAAGAAAGCTCATTGTAGCTGTACCAGAAACCATGAATACTTGTTAAAGTGGGATTTGCTCTGCTTCAAGATCTCTTGGATGCGTGGACAATATACACAAATAGTGAGGGAGAAATAAATATGTGGCTAAAAACACGAAAATCCCGAGATCAGCTTCTTCGCCGACTGCTGGCCGACGAGGATTCACCCAGTATATCTGGCTTACACACCATAAGCAGTACAAGCTAGCCAAAACAAGAATAAGTTTCACCGACTGATTTGATTGTTGTTTTATGGTGTTGGAGGACTTAACTCTGCATGCCAAAGCAATTGATACACAAACATTAAGAACCCTTATTGTAAGGAAAACAAAGACAACTAGAGAACCAAAACACATATGAAATGCCCAAAATAAAGACCTGTTGATGTAAATAAAGCCGCCGAGTAAGCAAGTACATAAGAGGCCGACTACAACAACAGCATCTGGGTTAATAGGTGCTCGGGTTTTCCACCAACCGGTGCTCAATATCCAAGTATACATTGATGAATGTCCATTTTCCTGAAGATAGAAAAAAGAAAAAATCATCCATATGAATTGCACAATAATCTTGAGAGAACTTTGTGGTAGGATGTAAAAAAGATTATCCTATAGATAGTGCAGGGTTCAAAACTATCAGACCATCTTCATCAAATTCCACTAAATTTTTATATTTTTTTTATTCAGCTATGATTCGAATATGATCTAACAGTGACAGCCAAGAGTTGCGCAATACTCTTTTTTTTTTTTTTTTTTTGCTTTTTTCGCCCTGCAACAGATTTTCAACAGATTTTCATACTCGCACATAATTTTAAAAAGCGCCCTAACTCCAATAAAACTGCTTTATGTGAGATGTTAAGGGCACCCCTAAATCTTTTACAGTCCAGGAGCAAAAAATAAAAATAAAAATAAAAATATTTAAAAAAGAGGTAAATTTTAACAAAATCCAGTCCAGTAGAAAAGCAGATTAAAATCACACGTCGAAGCTCGCACAAAGAAATCTTTCCTAAGGAGACTTTCGACTTCACGCTCTTAGGATTTTGCTTGCTTCATGTGAAGACAAATCTATAGCTAGTGAATCCTAACATGCAATGATAAACCTTGAACAAACAAGACTAGAAAGGTTGACAACATAACATCATGTCTAATTTCTGATCGGGTTTTACCTCAAACAAGTGATCTAAGAAGAAATGAGATAAAGAACCAGCTGAGATCAACAACAAACACTGTCTCTTAGTAAGGGCAACCTGCATTCCTCAAACACAAAGATATATTAAGCAAATTATAATACTCATTTAGTCATTTAGCGTCCAAAACAAAAGAGAGTTTAAGAACAGAAATGCCCACGAATTACAAGAAGATGCAAACTTTATTAATTTTAAATTAGCCTAATATGCTTCTAAGACTACAATAAAAGAAAAAACCCCCCCACTTAATATAAAACCCAGATCATGAATTCCACACCAAACCCCAATAAACATATCAAAAATGAAAAACAGCTTCAATTGAACAAAACAGATACCAGCTATAATATAGGATGATAAAGAGTTTTCCTTTTAGTAAAGAAGGTGCCCTTTAATACCCAACCAAATTAAACAAATTGAAATAAGAACAATGTAGCTCAATCACACAATCTCAGATTTAGTTTGAGGCGTCATCCTATGACCAAAAATAAATTAAAAAATAAATAAAACTTTAGCGCAAACAAATAAAGAATTCCACATGAAACCTAATAAGTGTAGCAAAAAGATAAACAAAATCAGCCCAAATTGTCAAATTGAACAAATAAACTAATATATATGTATATATAAAGAACAAATTTTTAAGCTGAAAATTGAAGTTCAGCTAAAACAAACCAAAATTCAACAACAAACCCAGTACGAGTAGCAAAAAGATAAATCAGTCCAAATGGTCAAATTGAACAAGGAAAAAAAAATTTAGCTGAAAATTGAAGTTAAGCTCAAACAAACCAAAAATTCAACAACAAACCCAATACTTGCAGCAAAAAGATAAATCAACCCAAATGATCAAATTGAACAAATAATGACGAAAGAAAAAAAAAGGACATATTTTTGAGCTGAAAATAGAAGTGACTGACCCCAGAAAGGGAATGAAGGAGAGATCTCCGGAGGAGAAAACTGGAGAGCCAAGAGTAGAAGAAGCAGAGCGGGATGCCGAGGATGAGGACGTAATAGAAGGGGTGGTGGATGGCGTCGGCGAGACCCGAGCCGAAGCCGAAGCCGAAGCCGATGGTGGAGCCGAGCCATTCGGAGAAGGAGCCGATGTCGGGGCCGAAGAAGGCGTTGAGAGTGTAGGTGAGGGTGTGGTGGGGCCCGAACCTGCCGTTGGAGAGAGCGGTCAGAGCCACCCCAGAGCTCATCGCGTACATCAGGTGCGGACCAGGGCCCGGCATGGCTCCGACTGCGAACCACACCACGCCACCAGATTTTGGTTTTGGTGCGACTTCGATTCGAACGTAGTCAGATAAATATGGTGCCGTCCACCTTTGACTTTTGACTATGGTTAGGACACAGGACGAGTTACACGTTACAACATTAATATTAATAGGTGATTTTATGTTAGAATTTTTTATTATAATAAAAAATTTTAATTTAATTTTTTTATAAGAATTTTGAATTATAATAAAATTTAAATTAAAAATTTAAATTAATTAAATAAATGAGTCTTAAATTAAGAAAGTTAAATTGTTTTTTCTAATTTTTCTTTTTTTTTAGTTTTTCTCTTGCTAAGGCCTCCGATCTCATGGACAAGCCCGTTTTTAATTTTAAATTTGATTAAAATCACACTTGATTAAAAAAAATACAAAATAAATAATTATATATACAAATTTAATAACTAAAAATAGAGACTATCACGAGTTTCTTTTTTTCAGTGCTTACCAAAAAAATCTTCTTACGAATTCCTATAGTGGAAGCTTTATCTTTTTTTACTACCGGTAGTGTTTTTATTTTAACGAATTGATCTACAAATAAAAGCAAAGAAAAAGAAATTTCCTTTCTCGTTGTTAATTCCAAGTTTGATAAAGACTAATGGTTGTTTCCCATTACTGTCTACAATTTAAATTGAATCAAAACTCTCTTTAGAAATACCACTTTTATTATGATAAATAAAAGTAAAATTTGTGGCAATCTTAATGTGTCTATCGCTTATACCACAAATAGAAATATAAACAACTACTACTAGAACTATCTTTGGCAAAAGGTGGTCGAGTTAACCTCTAACTGACTCATCGTAAAAATATTTTCAAGGACGTGTTAAATTGATGTGCATACAATAAATATTAAATTTTTTATATTGATTATTAACGGTTGGAAATATTAATTTTTTCATCTAATCGTTACATTATCATCCTTTCACAATTATTTTAATTTTAATGTTAGAAGTTCAATCTTCCAAATGTAAAAATTACAATAAAATAGATAAACATTTAAACTAATATTAAATTATACGATAAAATAGTACAACAAATATATTATCTCTCATTTTTTAATAACAAAATATAGTATTTCTATTCACATTTGTATCGTAGATATTCTATGATTGTAAACCAGTGACAGAATTACTAACCCTTATTTTTAATTAACACCATTTTTAACAAATATAATTATTTGACTAAAATAATATTAATTAAGAATAAAAAGTAAAACTTATACTCATGCACCGGTTATTTGTCTCCTTCCCCTAAACTAGTAGTAGTTTTGGGCAAATTCAAAACAACCCAATAAGCCAATAAGCCCGTAACGTAGAATTCAATCTCTTATGGGAAATTGTTAAAAATACTCTTTTAAAATAAAACTCTTTTTTGTTTTTACGTTTAAATATTAGTCTATATATTTTTATTTTTAAAACTAAAATTAATTAAAGAGTAGAATTTTTTTAAAAAGAATATCTTATTAATTTTAATAAGTGAGGTACATAGAATCTCTAACTTTTTCATAAGAGAAAGAGAAAAATAAGCCGAGACTTGAGATTAATTAAAATTAATAGGCCAATAGTTTACATAAGTTAATAAATATGCCAAATTATTATTTTCGTCCATAACTTGTCTGGTTATAAACCATAACTTGACAAGTTATTGTCCATAATTATCCATAACTTGTCTGGTTATGAATCATAACTTGATAAATTTATTCATAATTTATCTGATTATAAATCATAACTTAACAAGTTATGATCTATTAATTTCTATAACTAAAAATTAATCTATATATTTTCTTAAGCTTTTTGACCTATTTTCTACAATTTCTCCTTTTACATCTCTTAAATAAGGCCCGCTCAGCGCAAGAAGCCCACCAGCTCAGCCCATTCAAATTGGACAAAAATTCTCACACATGAAGGATGGTCTCCACGTTTTCCACTATTTTCTTCTCTCTCATCTCTCAAATTATTTTCTTATTCTTTTTTTTTTTTTTTGCACGGAAAAAAGTGTGGATTGCCCCTTCTTAGTCATTTTTTGTGCGGCTAAAGAATTTCTAAATGCTTTGAACCATAAACAAAAATTAATGAACAGTGAATCGATTGTTTGAAAATAATCTCAAACACTTCCACCATAAAAATCGAATATGAATCCACTCATCCACCAAACCACTCAAGTCTACAGAATTAATGAGACGTTTGGTTCATGAATTAAAATCATGAGATTATAATTATTTTTAATTTACGTGTATTTTTTATAAAAAAAATATTATAACAAATCATGAATCATAATTTAAATCATGATATGAATCTTTTTATCAAACGTTTTCTAAATGATTCTTAAATCTTTTACTTGAACAAAAGAATGACCTTAAATTCTAACGGCTTGAAAACAACATTAGTCTAGATTTTCCACATTAAATATATAAAACTATTTACCAAAAATTTACGTTATAGTACATCCCATGAACAAGGAAATAATAAAAGAGAGAGGAAAAAGATAAGCGTGTGTGGAACGTGGAAGGAAAGGATAAGAGGGAGGAGAAGAACATGGAACATTCCACGGCCATAAAAATAAAATAATAAAAAAAAGGTGTTGTTGGGCCCACAGACAGGATATTAGTAAGATTGGAACTTTTTGGGGGAGTTTTCTTTTAACGGATAAGGACTTGGAAACCCATTGACCCACGCCACCCCCCACCTCCCGCACGCATTTACAGCTTTCCTCACTGAATTTTTGGATAACTCCGGCCCCACCCCCACCACCACGGCACCGATTATTATTTTTATTTTTACTTTCTTTATTTTCTCTTCCACGTTTTCTAATCTTTGACTGTTGACGTCCACAACAAAATACCATATATATCTAATCTTGCAAATTTAAATTGTTCAAAATAATTGAAAATGACTTTAAGATAACCTATTACTATAGGTGTGTACATATGTATCAAATAATGTATGTATTAGTTCAATAGATAATGGTACATTAACGAAGACATGTTCTTTCAAGTGTAATTTGAGTTGAATTTGAGCTATAACTTAAGTTGAAGTTGTAACTTGAGTTTGTATTTGGTTGTGTACATTTGAGTCATGGTTTGAGATAAGAATCTTTTTTTGAGTTTGTGTTTGAATGAGTCAAAACTTAAATTTGTATTTAGATAGTATTTTAATAAAAACTCAATGGTGATGAAAAATTTTAATAGGGTATATGGGTGGAGTTTTATTTGTCTTTTCGTTGTCGACGCATAGAAAAAAAATCATCTCAATCAGGATTAAAACGAAAAAGTTATAGCATTTTTAAGAATAAAAAAATAATGTTCATTAATTTGAGTTCGAGTTTCTAAACTCGAGTTGAAGGTAACACTTGAACTCGAGTTTTAGTCCCAAACTCGAGTTCAAACTTCAAAGAACATGAATTTAAATAAAGTTGGAACTCGAGTTGTATTTTTTTGAGTTTTTTAAGCAGCCGAACACACCCTTAGACTTTCTAAGAATTTTACACACCTCGTGAGATAACGCTCATTTTAGAGTCATTAATATTGTATTTGTTACACCATGGTCGAGGAATCGACCACTCTATCGAACGACAGGCGCCGAGCACTCCCCGCTGAGAATCGGTCGCTGGCGTCAGGGGAGCAGACTGTAGCTGAAGTGGCCTTTACGTCGAGAGACCATACGTGGCGAGATGCGTCGAGCACCATGACTCGACTTCTGGAAGCCACTGCGTCGAGACAGCACGTCCAGTCAAATCCATCAACGGTCTTATCAACTCAGGGAAGGAAGTATTGATCTAACTGCTACTGCAGGACTCAGGAAATCAGGCGGCAAATGAGAGGGATCAGCCGCATTTCCTGAGGTTGTCATCATGAAAACTCACCTACCCGCCCGTAAATCGAGGGACGAAAGATGGCTTCCTCCTTGGAAACGGCGAAGGGATAATCACATGTAAAGGCCTATAAATAGAGCGAAGAAAACCGAGAAAAGGGTTACGCACTATTCCATTACTCCAAGAGAGTTTGTAATCCCAGAAGATATTAGTGCATTCACAAGTGGATTAGGCAAATGATTCTTGCCGAACCACTATAAATCTCTGTCTCATTTACATTATTTCTCAACTTTAATCCTTAGTTAAACCGCAAGTGTTATTGAGAGTGTCTTTGGAGAGTAAGTAATGCATTGTCAGAAAAACACCGTTAACAATTGGCGGTAGCAGGAGGGCGACCTGAACCCAGAAATCAAATCCAGTGAGAAACAGCAACCATGGCTCCGAAGAACACTCACAGCACGACGGTTAATCAGAAAGATAAGGCTCCCGCTGCCGCAGGAGCCTCAACGACTCCACCCCTGCCGTCTGCTAGGAATCCCCCAGACCGTATTGACCATCTCCAGAAGCAGGTCGAAACACTGGCCGCAGCCGTGGAAAGGATGGCTACAGCTTTCGCCGCGCGGGATCAACGGTAAAACTCGATGCCCCCATTGGAAGACGCGCCAATGAACCCGATGAACGCCACCGTCGGGAACTAAATGATTGGTGACCAACATGGTGACGCCAAGGGGGTCGGTGATAGTGGGGCCAACAGCCCCCGCCCAGCCAGGTCGAACAGGTTTGTGGAAGCTAGTAGTGGGCGGCCAGGAAAGGGTTGCGGCCCAACCCATGAATAATCAGGGCGCGCCTCAGGACATGGCTGCGTCCCAAGCTGTGAATGCCCAGGGTGCGCCTCCTCGGCCCCGGGTCGATGCTAACAGGAGGAACGTCGTCCCCGTGGAATCCTCGTCTGCGCGCGGATGAGACCTCAGGGGAAAGTTACATGCTCGGCGTGACCGAGACGCCCAGCGCGTCAGGGAGGACGAGCTAACGGCCGAGAATAAAGCCCTGGCCGAGAAGATGGCCAGGCTTGAGAAACAAATAGGGAGCCGATTAAACAACTTAACAAGTTGTGGGAAAGGTCACCGAGGCGGTCAATGTCGACGCCAAGATGTACACATCCCACAATCACCTGTTCATAGAAAACATTATTCGGGTGCCGCTGCCAGATAGGTACAAACCACCCCCCATTTCGATGTATGACAGAAGGAGTGACCTGGA